ATTGGGTAAATAATAATTGTAACAATCATCCTTTTTAATTTTTAACATATTCCTTCATGCAAAGTTACTTCCTTTCTAAAATACTTACATGTCGTAGTTCAGAAAATAGGCAAATCGTACCAACTAACTTTCCACCATACCACAGAACATGGTCGTGGATGCTAAACGTACGAGTGGGTTAGATGTTATTAGCAGTTTAGTTTGCCTATTTTCCTCCCTATATTAATGAAACTGGAGAAATTAATATTTTCTCAGGCCGTGGTGAACAGCTGGTAAGCATACCAAGAGATGCTATAAACAGAACTACGACATAATTATAATTGTTAAAATTATTGTATTATTGATAAAAAAAATTCTAAGTCTTTATTTCAATAGCCAGAGATAAAAACTGCGTACTTTCCCGCTCCAAAACGTCATTTCCTGAAAGATGAAATAGTCCCACAACGTCCAGTCAGGCGACAGTTAAGTAGGTTCGAGAGTTGGAAATGGTCCGCGTACAAATAGTTACTAAAACAAATTTAACTTATTTATAACAATATTTTAAAGTGATTTACCTTATTTTCAATGTAAGATAAATAAACAGCTATCAATATTGCAGTTAATAGTTTGTAACAATCATCCCTTTTAGTGTTACTTTTCATCATATTCCTTCGTGTAAAGTTAATTTCTTTTTCTGTCAAATGTGACTCATAAATGGTTATAAATATACTAAAAAATACTTACAATATATCGTAATTCGGTAAATACAGCAATAACAGCCAGCTAAGTTACCAAAATAGTAATATCTAGTTATCAATAATAACATATTGTCACAGGTGTTGCTCCAGGACGATTCTAGCTTTTTAAGTCTTTAAAGCGTAGATTACGCTTGTAATGTTACCTAGTTTTTAAATAAAATATAATATTTATTACAACAAGTTCAATTAGTGCGTACTGTTACGACAGCGGGGGTCACGTGACTCTAGTAACACGTCATGAACTTCTAGAAGGATCCTGTCCCTTCTTTAAGTCTTGAGAGGCTACCAGATATGCGATAGTCTTGTATATAGGCCGCCATGAACTGACGGCAACAATGGTAATTGAACTGCGGACAGAGAGACGTATTGTTGAGTCGAGCACGTGAGACGTTCGTTGTGAATTATAGCGCGACTGTGGAAATTAAGTGTATTGCAAAGTTGTATTCAGAAAGAATAAACCAGTTTTATTTAAGAAAGGACTTGTATCGCTAAAGTTTCTTCAGAAAGAATTTTTACGGAAAATTAACTAACGAACCGAGGCGTAATAGTACCTTCAAGTTTTAACAGAATGCATATAAATTGAATATTAGGCTTTCAATTATATTCATTTAAGTTAGACACAAGTTATAACGCATGGATTTACTGAAAAATATAAAACTTGAATTATTGGATTAATACAAATAATTAAATTTTGACACCCCCACTTCCCTTAAAAACTCGATTTAAATATTAGGTTAAAATTAAACAATTATAGCGTTTGGACAATTTCTCATTCACTAAATTATGTCAGTTTGATTACTCCAACTTCCTCACAGGTTTGAAAATATTTTCTGATCAAATTACTTTTTTTTTGTCCCGATTATCCCACCTTGATTTTGGAATATGTATCAGTTATATAACCTAACTGTTAATATTACTCAATGTCTCTTTCACATTTCTCGCACAGTATTTGGAAGAATTCCAGACCCAGTAAGATAAAGTACTGTATGGATAATTAATAAAAAAAAAACAATTAAAAAAACATTGGCCAAACTTGTAATAGATGATTAAGTGTAATTACATTGTAACAATATATAAATTTTAAAGTACTGTTTGTTTTTTACACGTGTTATTAATTTTTTAAAAGTAGTTTTCTATCAACATTACGATGTACTTTTCAAAACCTTTTGCTAGTTTAAATTATTTTACAAATGACACCAACATATTTAAATACTTGTAAAAGAATTTTAAATAATTCTTAAAATGTAAAAGTAGAATGAAAACAATAATTTATTCTAAACAGAAACATGATTTAATCTATATTAACATTTCCTAACTGAAAAAAAAGTGTTATTCTGTGGTGGTTCTAAATTTATATATATTTTCCTTCTGTTTTTTTTTAGCCGCGGCATAGCGGCTTATAGTTTTTTTTTAATTCCAAGTACACATTTTTATCTCATAGCTCAATCATCTCATGACTGATTTGAGATCTAATTACAGTTTTGAACTCAGGAGATCAAACCCTTTCGACTGATGTATTTGAACACGCCCAAGGTCTCATAGATTAATTTACTTTAATCCTGTCTAAAAGAATTTCAATTTGAGTGTAAGCTGGTAGAGATCCTGATGAGCAATAAAATTGAATCTGGTACATGTGCACCCCACGCTCGGTATTGCTGGCGCACATAAATATAGGTAATAAAAAAGGTATCATAGATTAATTTACTCTAATCCTGCCTAAAAGAATTTCAAGTGCCATGGCTATTGCAGATTTCCTCTTGTTTTCTCTCTTAAGTGGCTGTGTTTTGAGACATAATAAAACCGCATTTAAATTTTAGGATAAAAATATACTGGTACATATCTATTTTTTTAAATACTGCTAACCTCAAGAAGTTAGCTGGTTAATTCCTCATAAATTACCAACAAAGCCAAACAGTTAAAAAAACGTAAATTTATATAACAGATTTGATAAGAAAATTACTATAAAATCACAAGTTTGTAATTCTTATAATTAAACAACCTTTACACTTAGTGTAAAAACAGTGTAATTTTTGTTCAGCATTTGTATTACGGTAAATAACTCCAAAATGTATAAACACAGAAATATTAGAAATCATATACTTACCATCAGGTGGTGTTACTAGTGAAGATATCAAAAAATCGAATTTCCATGCTTAGTTAATTAACAATGCTGTAGATGAATATCATTCAACGTTTGTTACAGCAACTAACTGTGGTTGTTTGTTTTACTTTTAACAATAACAATTTTTTGGCACTACATTTACAATAATGCTGTTTATTTTTACAATGAATATAACCAGCGCTTGAAGTGGAGGAAAAGAGAAAGCAGGATGGTTTGCGAATTTTTTAAATTTGAAAAATAAAAGATAGCCTAATTGGTTTGTGTATAATTTAAGGTTAGGCCAACGTGTATTTGCCTCATATAGCCACTCTGAATTTTTATAGTTTAACTAAATTTATAATAATCGTATAATCACACTTTTTTACTATAGTGTCAGGACAAAAATGTATTCCGCATGTAGGTTGTTTCCCAATCATATCTTAACTTAAAAAATTCAAGTGGAAGACCAACCAAATAATTGGAAACTTATTAGGTAAGATAATAATAATTCTTCACGAAGGTATACTCGAGAGCAGCTTGCGCGTTAGACAATTCGATATGGTAATATGAGCAGCACATTCGCCGAGTGACTTGCAGTGTGGCGAGAATATTTAAGCAGTATTCCTTATCTTGAACAGGTGATAGATGAAAACAAAATGACTGCATTAATTCCGAGCTTGTTAAGATAAATTGGGAAGTTCAAAGAACGATAAGGCTCCTGGACCAGATATAATTTCCCCAAGGGTTTTGAAGGAAGGTTTTTTTTTGTTGTAAGTCCTTGAATAATGGGCAAGTACCAGAGGATTGGAAGTTCTAATGTCAAATCTCCTTTCACGGGAGAAAATAAAAAATGTTCCAATAATTATAGGCCCATTAGTCTTCCATCAGTTGTGGAAATTTTTTTAGAAAGTCTGATAAAAGATGCTTTGCAAAGCCATTTAACATTTAAAGGGGAAATCTTGCCTTATAAATCTTTTGACGTTCTTTGAAAAGGCTACTGCTTATGTAGATGATGGTAATGGTGTAGATTTGGTGTACCTGTATTTTCAGAAAACATTTGATAAGATGCCACATAAAAGGCTCGTTAGAATAATTCTCTCTATAGGTGTGGGGAATAAGTTAACAAATTGGGTAGTTTGTTTGTTTTGAATTTCGCACAAAGCTACACGAGGGCTATCTGCACTAGCTATCCCTAATTTAGCAGTGTAAGACTAGAGGGAAGGCAACTAGTCATCCCCACCCACTGCCAACTCTTGGGCTACTTTTTTACCAATGAATAGTGGGATTGACCATCACATTATAATGCCCCCATGGCTGAAAGGGCGAGCATGTTTGGTGGGACGGGGGAATCGAACCCGCAGATTGTAAGTCGAGCTCCTTAACCACCTGGCCCAAAACTGGGTAGAAGAGTGGCTGGATGGAAAGAAAGCAAAGGTCTGTTATAAAGGGTGTTCAGTCAAAATGGATTAATGTTACAAGTGGGGTACCTCAGGGCTCAGTCTTAAGACCTTTGCTCTTTTTGATTTACATCAATGACATAGATGATGGAATGGTCAATAAATTACTTAAATTTGCTGATATTAAGGTCTTGGGTGTTGCTACCTGTGAAGAGGATGCTGCTGATTTACAAAAGGATTTAGTTCATCTAGCAAGTTGGGCAAATAAATGGCAAATGGGTTTTAATTATAATATATGCAAGATAATGCATGTGGGTTATCATAATTTGAATTACAAGTAAAATTTGGATGGGAGTTTTTTTGGTTTTTTTTTATTAGATACCACTAGATGGTAACTGATCAATTTGATGATTTCTCATCTATATTAATTCAACCTGATCTCACTGACTTGCTATTTCCTCTCTGCATATGTTCAACATGGATTATTACAAGCTTATGACGTTAACCTGTATTTATACAATTATTCTTCTATATTCAATATATTGGCTGTTTTAATTATTTCTGTTAACATAACGTAAACTCTTCTTTATGCTCAGATATGAACAAACCATATATATATATACACACATTTTGCATAGTTCAAATCCTCACCAGTTGGCACTCCAATTCTGTGATCCGATTCATGTTTGCAAAATTAATTGAATTTAACTTTTGTTACGCAATGTCTTTACAGTTTGAGGTAATGCAGACAAGTAAGCTTTAGTCTCTCTTATCACAGACAACAGATTTATTCTGAATAAAATATACAAAAGAAGAAAGTCACTAATCACATAACAATGTTTACAATTATATTATATAAACTTTGAACATGACAGTTTTATTCTATAGACAATAATAAGATTAAGTCATCATTTTGTGCTTTAGGGTTTTGGATGTGTCAGTCTCACTTGAAAAATCTATGGTTCCAGAAACAATCACTTTCTGAATGGTACCAGTGGTTATTTGGTTTCATCTCTCATTTATGAAGGGAGTAACATTCATCAAAACTTAATCTGAAAATACAACGTTTCTATATTTTCTAACACAATTTAAATATGACTTACTGAGAAGAATCTAGAAGTCATGTGAATTATACAAAATCTATGATTCATAATGATTTTTATCTAGTAATACAATAAATACAACTTTTATTGGTTGAAAGCTTGTTCCCTACATCACTTCTTTAAAGTCATGAGTTGGCCTCATGGACTGCCAAACCAGTAAATTAAATATTCACAGATTTCTTCCCTAGGAGATATATATATATATATTTATATAGTACATAACAAACAAAACAACGTAGGTAGATGAAGGCAGTTGGAGAGGCCGCTGGTACCATCAACACACCCCACGATACACCTTGTTTAAAGATGGCACATTTCTAGGCAGGAGTAGAGGAAGGACTAATCTTCATTTTTTTACGATGACTCTGTCCTGAGTCCTCTGTATCTGAGCTTTCTGAACCTGATCCTCCATCAAAAGCTGATATTGCATCTCCTTTGCTGTTGAAGTGATTTGTGTCTAGCATTGTAGAAGCAGTAAAGTTCCCTGTGGCCTTGGCTTTTTCCAAAGATCGGACTGGAAATATAAAAAAACAAAATTAACTAATTCTAAGTTTGCACAAAAATATCAGTAGCGTAAACATTAAACTTGTTGCAACATTCCATATTTAAGCTTGATTTATCAATTCTCTTTTTGTGAGTTTGTTTACAGTTGGTTTGTTTTAGAAGCATTCTTAGATTGAGTTTATTAACATCAAGATTCTCTAGAATATTTATCTTGTGGATGAAAATCCAACTCTTTAGTTTAAAATCAAAGTCACTAATCATGGAATAATTAAATCTACTAACCTAAGAGACTCCACTGAAGATCAGAGTTGATTGGGATTACCTGAAGACAAGGTGGTTTCAGGTACACAAAGTGTTCAGTGTAGAAATTTTACAAATAACAGAACACATTTAATAAAGTATCATACAAAAAACATTTGGGAAAATGTACTTCAGGGTACTTTAGAGACAAAAGTCTAAAATAAAAATATTCATAATACTAGACTTGATATCACTTGGTACTTCTTTTCTCTAACTATTTCCTACTGGCTGCAGTGTAAAGCATGTAAAACAAAAAAGTAATCCATAAAAGATCTATAAAATTACATTTAAATTGTATTCACGAAAACATTAGATAAAATAGTTGAAAGTTTAGACAGAAGGCTGTATCAGCCACATAGATAAGTTTGCTGACTGGTGAAAAATGCTGTTTTAAGTGCAACAAACATTTTCTTTCTTGTTGGTTATATGCATATACAACAAAATTTAAATTTTTGTACGTACTGTATGTGTATGTAAGTATATGTAAATACATAATTTTTTATTTAATTTATTACAGGGCACTGAACCAAAATATACCCACATTAGTAAGAAATTATGATATAATGCACCCGTATTGGTAACCTAAAGATTAAACATGGATGTATGCATGCAAATAACTAATTCTGAAAAACAACTGGTTGAATCAAGGTTGTACTGCACCAGCAGGTAAATAATGGTGCCTTATACATTTTTACAGTGTCTCAGTTTTGAAAAAGCTTTTTCATACAACCAAAAGTGACAAAATAACCATGATTTAGGACTGCTTCACGAAGGAAAGTAACCATGTACCTTGCACCTAAAGAATTTAAAATGTCTATACCTTGTCCTACAACTGAATATATTGCTATTACATTGTCGAAGATGTGATAACACACATACAACACAAATTTTTGATAAACAACAAAACCTTAAAATACAACAGGCTACACACAATTTTTAAAAAAATTATTTAAGAATGAATTCTACAACAAATATAAGTTTATGTCTGAAAGAAAACAATTCTTGCTCAATATAAGCAAATTTTTTTTTGAAGTATTTTATAAAAATTTCAAACCTACCAATAAATACAACTTTTGAAAAGGAACAAAAAATATTTTTGTTTGTTATACACTTTAGCATTTACACTTCTCTCTCCTAACCCCAAAAACCTTTGCAAAACCAAGGACATCAAAACCTAAAAATCTTAAATTGAAATTAAATAAAATAAAATAAATTTTAGCAAAAATATATTTTAGTAGAATATGTTTACTATTGTTAATTCATTTATATAAAACATATTAAAATCAGAAACTAAAACTATGTATATCAATATTCAATCCCTGCAAGTACTTTTGACTTACTCTGATCTTCTAACAATCGGTTTTGTCTTTTCAAGTCATCAATGTCTTGGTGATGGGATGAATTTTTTCTTCTCATAAACTGAATATAATCTGCAGCTTTCTTCAAGATTTGTGCTCTTGAAGCCTATGAAATAAATAAAAACAATAGGAAATCATCCAATTTATTTAATACAATAAATAAATAGGTGTGATGTACATGATGGACTATAAGATTCAAATTATATAAAACTTAAGTTTCAATCAGCTATCATACAACTAGAAAAGGTCATAAAACTTTGGAAATTTTAAAAAGATTCCAACAATTTTATACCAAAATTAAGTATTTACAGAACAAACAATTATAAGTGCTCGATAAAGATTTTTGAGAGTATATTATTGAACAATTTAAATTTCTTTAATGATTTCAAACATTTAAATTAATGTTTTTAGCAAAATATTTCAATATAAATTTACAGTGCTTTTATTTAAATTAAAACTTATCAATTACTCAATACTTTCTTTACTAGTGATCATTATTTAAAATATATTTTAATTCATTATTTTAGGTAAATAATAATGAAGACTACAAATTATCCAAATAACTTCTATGCCAACAAACCTTAAGTACAATAAAAAATTTACAATCCCTTCAACAGCATTGGCAAGACTCAACCAACTATATCCAAGTTGTGCATGTTCACAAAAATCTTGATCTGAAATTTTGCTGCTTCCAAATATAATTTGGTTTTTACATTCCTTAAATATCCTATCATTTTCTAAGAAGTACTTTAAGACACCGTCAAAGAAGAGAGAATTCTACGGTTTAAACAGTTAAAATGATCCATGACACTCAGATGATTTTGCTTAGTTTTATAAATATTTAATTGAAAGAAAATACCATTAAACAATTCATTCTTGATCTTTTTAATGGATTTATAAATTAATTATGAAATAAAGACAGTTTTCATTTTAATTCATTAGAGTCACCTACCTCCAGTTGGTAGGTCTTGGATGAAAACAATCTTAAAGTCTTTTTGTCAATTACACATCACAGCACAAAATATTGCTTGTAGATATATATTTTTAGTGAAAAAAAGCTATTTAAAGCACTTAGTCCTAATAATTCAAAGGGTTAAAGGGTTTATATTTTTATCTTTAATTGAAACAAACACTCTCTTAAATTTTGATATAAACAACTATTTATAAATTTCATATTTATGTGTAAAACTTTTTTTAAACCTTTGTACAATTAAATCAAATAAAGTGGACAAATTCTAAGTATTCTTTTAATCACAGGCAGATTGGCCCACCAGGCAATTACCTGGTGGGATGTTGCATGTGATATTGACCAGGTTGATTCTTTAATGCCAATCCACCCTTTTTGTTAACTAATGGAAAGTTAACATTTTCCTTACACAAATATATAAATATATCTCATAGACATTCACCTTTTGACACAGAAAGCTATCTTCCCCTTGTGTTTGCTTTAGGTATTTGCATGCCACTTAGCCTTTATGCAACTCCCACTTCAGCTTATAAGATTTCTTGATAATTGAGCTTCTGCATAATGATGTTATGCAGTAAAAGCCCTCCGCCAATAGGAGAGTGGAACAACCTCCCTGCACACTAGCTTACTCTATGCTTTTGCACTCATGATCTTCATTCTTTGATGAGGCAAGAAATATTAAGTTGTACCAAAAGGGAGGAGGAAAGGCAAGAAGTGTGAGAGGAGGCAAGTAACTATCGGAAATACATTTTCAGGTAAAGAAAATGTTAACTTCTGAGCTGAGACCACACACACCCCTTCATGCAGAAAGCTAGAAGCCCGCATTAAATTGGTGGAGGGCCCAGCGCAAAATGTTATTTACATTAGTTCCCTTTAGAAAGCACCCAAATAAAGCTCATGGAGGCACACCATAGGGAGGAAGAGGCAAACGAGCCCCATGTATTGCAGGTACGGGCAAAACAAGGACATGGTCAGCCGAGTAGATGCACACAAGAAGTTGGACAGTCAATACATGTAGCTTGGTTGGGACACATTCAGACCATCTAGTGCAATATCAACTACCATAACACATTATTGGACTGACACCAGCTGTGGGAGGAAGTGCACAGAATTCATGCCACAGTGTGTAATGTTTGTGCATGTTCACTTCAACTCTACCACTAAACTCTTGGACTGACACAAGCTGCAGGAGAAGGGCATGGATTTCATGCCATAAAGTATGTAATATTAAAAGTGCACCTCAACTCAACTGACAGTCAGCGGCTACAGGAGGAGAGCACAATTCCAGAGTACGTGCTCACCTCGACTGAAAAGGGTACATATCTTATAATGTGCTCTAGCATGTTGTAGGTATAATTATATGAGATATAACCTGTGCTACACTGACAGTGCCACCACCATCCACTTCCCACTGATTGGGACCCCTTATTCTAGCTCTAGCAGTTAGGTTCACATCAGCGAGTGTTTTCAATGGTCCAGCAGCTAGGAAATGGTAAGTGGTAAGGGTCTCCCATGCTCCACTCAAAGAAAAAAAGGGAGAGGAATTCATGGTGGAGAGACCTGGAGAAATGCCCAGATCCCTACTGATCCTGTTTCAGCCAGAAAGGTCTTATACTGGAGACAGTGCAACAGGTCACTGTTTAACCCTATTTTGAAAAGCGTGAGCCAGGGAAGCAGGCAAAGCACCCACTAATGCAGACTTTTTCCATGATAGTCCATGGAATAGGTACAGTCTAGAATGGACAATACTCAGATATCAGAATGTATCATGGGGAAACCTCAAGTGGTCTTGCAGAACACCCCATCTCAACAGCAGCCAAATATATGGTGCCAGGGCAGATGGTATGAGCACCTTCTATTATTCTAGCTCAATGCAGCATTTTTGGAGTTAAGTGTACCCTGGAAGGCACCACCAGCCACCTGGCAGGATCTTGTAAGCAAATGCCACAATAAGAGGGAGAATGTGCTCACCTGTATAAAGATGGTGGGTAGACTGGAGAATAGCAAACAGAGGCAGGTGGAAACTTTCAGGAGAGGAGACAGCCAGGTGGTGGAGATAGTGATGAGAAAGGTGTTACATGTGGTCCACATGCCAGCCCAGAAAATCTCATCCAGCGGCTATCATAAACAAGCATCAAGGGAATGAGTGAGGTGGCAAATCTAATAGGAAAAATGTGGAGCAGTCTGTGGGTATTGACCCCCAATGAGGGGTAGACCAAATGGAGAAGCTGACAAACCCAGCTTGTAAGGGTAGATAAGGTTAAGTCTCTGGAAGAAGAATCACGGGGAATAAATAGGCAAAGACAAGAGCCACAAAAATTAGAGGTATTGGCTAAGTAGCAATGAACAGCATGAACAGAACACAACAGTCTATCTGAGTCTGATAGATCATAAAGGCATGAAATAGAAAGAAGGAAGTGGGAGAAAAGGAGCAGTCACCTTCTCAAGCTGCTGAAATCTTAGGGTGAAAAAAAAACTAGTCAGAATGGAAAAGGTTACAGAAAGAACCTAAAGCAAAGAGATTTGAACAACTGCAACCATAGGCGAGGAGTAACAGGAAACAGGTCTTAAGATAAAGGTGGTATAAGGTGTAGGTTGTCAATGGCTCAAAAAGAAGCACATGTAAGAGTATGCAGGATGACACTGAGGTCTTAATCAGGCATGGGAACAGGGCAAGGAGGTGGGAGAACTGGGAAGGAAAACATCTCGCAGTATTGCAAAATGTGGTAGATAAGGCAGTCTAATAACTGGTAACGGTAGAGACAGCTAATCCTTTGCTGAACAGCCAGATAAAAAAGGGAAGACAGGTGTTGATGCAAAGGTCAGTAAGGAGAGTCAAAATATGTAACAGTGAGGTTTGTAGGTCATTAAAACAGTCATAAGCAGTCCTTGAGTTCCATTTGAGGTCATTAGTTTCAACATTTCAGGTATCGATTTACATTATTATTTTCTCTAGCTCTCATCTTCATATGTATTTTATTTTTCTCTATCAGTCAAAAGTTTCATACATAATGCAAATTAATAAAAAATGTTTTGTTTTTTTCTCTCTACAAATGAATTCTACCTTCTGGGAGACTAACGACTTGAGTTTGGACTTCTGGTTTACATGACATCACACGTCCTACTATATATTGCACTGTGCAGGCTAAAGGTCACCCTTTATTCTCCTGAAGAAGAATAGTCAACTATTTGAAAGCGCCCGAGTTTTGGGTCTTATTTTAAGTCTAAAAAATGAAAAGAGAGGTGGTCTACAGCAGGATGATCAGGAAGGTAGCAGCAGATGGACTAATGTCAAAACATACACCACTTACACAGCTAGATGTAGAAGGTAGAAGGGTGACAAGAATGAGAAAGGTAAAAAGATTACGTGCTTGGAATGTCCAACTCCACAGGCAAGGGATCCAACAAATCTCAAATGTGAAGATGAAGGGACAGGATCCTTTGATGGAACAGTAATGTGTGAGGTAGAAGCAAGATACAGGATATGGGTGGTAGGAGAAGGGGTGGGAGTGGACAGACAATGAAGAAGAGGGAACCAGGATTGAGCTGGCCAAAGAAGCAGCACCAAGGGGGCATGACAAGGACCCATGATAAAAGACAGAGAGGTGGGTTATCATACAGGAAAAGATGAGATCAGTCCTGACAGAAAGCATAGACAGACAGGGCTGAATTATGGGGAACCAAAGACCAGATAATGGGAATCTTGGAATTGAGAAGTGTAGCAAAGGCATCGATGAATGAAGCCCCCTAGTAGAGAACACACCCATTGTAAAACCTGAGAGTGAAGAGATCATTCTGTAAACAGGACAAGGTCTGGCCAAGAGAGTTGGTCTGCAATTAGGTTCCTAGCTCCCGGCACATGGCAGTCAATGAGCAAACCTGTTGAGAATTGGCCCAATAAAGAAGGTCGAGGGTTTGAAAACAAGGGATCCTAAATGGGGTATCCCCTTGATGGTTGATGCATGAAACAACTGTGGAGTTGTCAAAGTGAATCACAACTAGGAGGGATAGGAAATGGGAGCATGCTTGACAGACTGCCAGGAATTCAAGCAAGTTGATATGAAGAAAAAACTTGTGCTGGGTTCAAGTGCCTGACATAAGAAGGTGATTCAGAGATGTTTCCTATCCCAAGAGGTATA